TTCGTCTGTTTTTTCGAGTTTAAAAAATGTGAGCTGGCTGGAGCCTTCATCCCTTGTCTATTTCTTACACTAGATACCAGCCGATACCCCCCCCCCCCCGCGCTCATAGAGACTGCGTATTACAGTTGATTATAGTTCCTGGGCTCCCTGTGATACAACATATTGCAAGACTGTGTTGTTGGCGGTTATTTGGCCATTAACAAAAGTAACACTCACTGTTGTTTTACCCCTGCCTAGATTGACCATTTTGGTAACCTCTTCTCCAGTGGAATTACGTCTCACATATGATGCAAATGCATAACTGAAATTAAACACAAGAGATTATATCAAGTGATGTCATGTGGTGCAATGGACTGAATCCCGTCAAACCACATGTACTAGTATAACCTTGGCAACAATGAAGACTAGAAAACTTAGCATTCATACCTTTTCTCAAACTTCATATTGGAGGTATTAGTCACATGAACACTGACATCGAATCGCTTTGAAGCCAAATTTGCTGTAATATTCACTGGAAACCGCCTGAATCCATTTGTTATGTTGTACTTCACGGCAGTGTAGATCACGTGACCATCAACACCCGCTTCGCCAACTGTATGCTCGCAATAACTGCAACAACAAAATTGTTAAAATATAATGTAATAAGTGTAGGTAATCTTTGAACAGTTAACCATCAGGAGCTAGCGACAGCTTACACGTACCTTGGTTCTATATGTAAATATGCACTTGACTGTTGAATATTTATCTTGGTGGTAGCATTTATGGTATATCGAACTGCTCTATCGACTGCAATTCTCAGTGGAAACCCCAGACTTGTGGGGACTACCAAAGACGAGTAATGTTGTTGAGCTGTCTCATTGTATATAACTTGCTGACCGACTTGAAGTTTTCTCAGCAAACTTGAAAGATCTTTAATCCCCTTGTGGTCAAAATATAACTCCTGACCAAGAGCGAGAACGTAGAGCGATAGCCGTGGAATGGTGATGTCTGGGGTTTTGCATTCACTTGATTGGTGAACATTCTACAGAAGATAAGTAGAACACCTCATAAACACATTTGATGTGAACTGTTAAAAGGGCCACGTAAATCTGGGTGTATGTAATGAACTTAAACGTGGATAAAAGAAATGCTCTTTTAGAATATTAGTAAATACCTCGTACAGCTTCTCATCCACCAAAATTCCGGACAATATCTCCCTCTTCCTTTTGCCTTTCAAACCTCCAATCATTTCTTCCAATCCTTCCATGCGAATTCCAATCTACAGACAATGTACATTGAAATTTGTTCATACTTTGTTCAATTACCTAATACACAGAGTACATACATTATGAATTAAATCATTTTCCAACTTACTTCAAAAAGGTTTGTGTTTAGTCCCATTATATCATTTACTAAGTTCAGCATTACTTCTCGTGGAAGGCTACTCCCTTTGTCATAAATAATATGTCCGTCAAGGAGAGCTGAAAGAGTGGCAACGGTAAAGTTTAACATCCAAAAAACAGAAATGGATATGGACGTCAATTTACGCGCAGTCAATACTCTGTATGCGACATCCTTCATAACAAATAGTCTTAATTAAACATTTCTGTCAGTTAAAAAACTTCAGATAGATGTGAGACAGAAAACATCAGTATCTAGCATCTCACCTTCGTTTCCAAACAGTACTGATGATGAGAATGATGTATTGAATGAATTATGTAGGGTGTCCCGTGGACATTTTTCTCCCATACGTTGAAGAGCGGCGTATGAAATGTCCATTCTGAAAGACAATATATATTTGTAACTTGTATTTCAAAAAGTGTACAAATTGCCGATATAAAAGAAAGTCATAATAGCAATAAACAGCAAATTACAAATCACCAATTACATTGTAGCATAATAATTGAATAATTTCACAGATTTTATAAAACAAATGATTATAACAGCAATGGGTTATGTAATATCAATGGTATTGAATTATGTGTTACATTTTGAATTATCGTAAAGCAGATGCGTGTTATTTTGAGAGTAAAGCATACATGCCACTACATTGTATTAAAATACAAACAAAGTGTATGGGTATTTTTACGATTAGTTATTAATAACAATGTTTCATTCCTGCCAATCAATCGTGTGAAAATATCTAGTAAAGAATGTTACACGAATCAAAATTAATTTTAAACACTTTGATTACTTCTTCTGTAGTACAATAAAGCTATGTACATGTAATACATTAAGTCTACCTGTTTTCGAATCCAGGAATCGATGAATAGGAATGCCACGTGGTTTCCAGATAACTGCACATAAAATTGTGGAGGTCACCTTGCTGTTCATTAGTCAATGTGTTGGTTATTCTATTGATTACTTCTATAGATGGCTTAGCCTCCATCAACATAATAAATGCAGCCACACGGACCTCGATTGGATTATTGGTATCTTCAAATAAGCCACTCAGATCGTTGATCACCTAAAACATATTACAATTACATTAAATGACACTATCATAATCTCATATTATGTTATTGTATATGACAATAGATTTGTTTTTAGAAAACGTTGAATGATGTAAAACACATGTGGATGTGTGTTTCCACGTTGTTTGCTTGATGGAATGTATTGAGAATAATAGTGGATGAAAAGTTTTAATTTAATGGGTACATTTACACGTTATATGGACTCATTTATAATCTCATATGCAGAGATTTGCTTTCATAATTCAATGCTCCATGTATCCCTAGAACAAGATACTTAGTCTGGGACAACAGCATGTAACGAGAACATACTACAGTACATTTTACTGACATTTTGAGTATTTTAACCCGGGGCAGTATTACAATGTATCTTCGGATAGAATTTAAATGTTATTCACCTTTGATGTTATACCCTGTGATGGAACATTCCATGCACCATAAATGGCCGTCGCCCTTGTCTCTAGTGTTGGGCATTCTTTGGCACAACGCATCATATAAGGTACCGTTGATGGGAATCCAGCATTCATTAATGCTTTAAGTGCAGTCAAAATATTATTTTCATCTTTCTTGTCCCACGATGTGTGCAAGAATGACACCAAGTAATTCTTGTAATACTGAATATGTTCCTGTAATAGATGTATTATATTGCATGGTATGTGATTCAATATACGTTGTCAGACATAAAATGCGAAATGTACAAATAAAGACAGTTGTATATTCGGAAGAGGCTGTGGGTGAACAGAACAACTAGTTTGGAAAATAGTTATTTAAGTCACATTGGCTTGCTATATTTATTGTAGCAGTAACAAACCAACACCCATGCAGCCATGCTCTATTAATCTCAGGGCACAGAAACACCTACCGGCATTGAGGCTTCGTTAATGTTGTGGTTGACCATAAAATGGTGTATCATTGACCCTAGCGTCAATAAAGATTGTTCTTTCAATTGGCGGTTTGACAGAGCAGTCATCTGAAAAATAAATGCACGTCAGTATGATAGTCAGATCAAGACTGTGTGTAGCAATCAAATACTGAAACCACGTGACATCACATACCATTATGTCATTGAGCATTTCTTTCGTTGGGTTTGTTGATAAAGCTACTCCACGGAGGAAACGCTTAGCTTGGTCTATATTCACCGTTCCCATCAGAATTTGTTCTGTAGATAGTTTAACTGCCTCGGGAGAGTTCAAATTAGACAACACAGCCATGAAAGCATCTCTGCAAAAACAAATTTTAATTTGTTAATAAATAAGTATATTAAAAATAATGTGCTGTGATTTAAAAACTAAAGAAATTGCTGAAAATTGTGAATTGGTCATATACCTAGTATATGATTTAGATAGCATACATGTGCGTTATATTGACTAATTCTGTAGTCCCACGTTGAGCACGTATCGCGACATCATTTTAACATACATTTCTTACCTGATTGTATCATCTGCAGTCGAATATTTTTCAAACATATGAAGTAACTCTGTCATTCCAGAATGACGAAGCATTTTAACAATCTCCATAAACAACCGAGGTGCATCCGTACTACTCTCATCACCGGTCTTTGAAATCTCCCGGATGTACTCTTTCATAAGTTTATCTAGCTACATGTGTGAACAAAGTAATTAAGCATTAATAAATAACCGCTGTGCCCAAACAGTAAAAACAAAAATCATATCATTATTAAATGTCACACTGTGCATGCTTACCAACTCAAATGAATCTTGACTGGAACTCGTCTGTATGGTCGGGCTAATGTTTTCAGCAGTAAGTCCATGAGTAATGTAGTTATCTGGTACTATATCGTAGAATACAACAATCAAACAATTTATGATACAATGTGGGTATTTAAACTGTCCAAATAATTTCATCTTGAAGAATACAGAAGAGTATAATTTGTCGTAAAATAAAAAAAAACGTAATTATATTATCGTTTGATGAAATAATAATTGAGTGAGTGTGTCAGTGAGCGAGTGAATGGTTGCACGAACTCGCCGGGATCATTCTGATACAAATTTGTAAATTACGTAATGTCACACTAAATCAACTACCAATAAATGCGCTTAGAGATATAATTTTCTTTCCATGGTGATATTCTATCTTTAAATCCTGTGGCATGGAAAGAAATGTTCAATTGAGTACTTACAAGTAACAAAACGCGTTTTCATCGCTGCTTCCGGTAATAACTTCAAACTTTGTCTGTTTAAACAAATAAATAAATTATCTCTCATGAGTGGTCGTATTCCCACAATTTGCAACACAATAACTTGTTTTATACTTCCCCTATCTCAGTTTATTCAAGCTCGACGTCTCTTGAAGTTAATCGTAGACATTCGCTGTTTTTGGTAACGATTACACAATATGTGTGTGGCACTTTCTACTTAATTTCCAAAAATTGAAATCATGCCTTTGCGGTTAGCAGTTCAAAAAGGCGCTTTGAATGAAACAATCAGCTTCACAAATATCTTAAAATATTGAATGACCAATATGTATTTTGCATCTTCAAAAACAAGTCTGTTGTCTGGTGACGTGAAGCGATCAAAAACTAGGCCCAGGAATTATTCATCTCTTGAAAGTTGTGTATTTCATCGGATACATTACTTAAAGCGGGAGGGTCATCACCTGTGCATGCGCGAGAATTTAGTCCCATGCAACGATAACAACACACGCTAAAAACGCAAAGGCTCATAGGTAGACGCTTGTTTCTAAACAATGACACGCTATGGCCGTCTGACGCATGCGCAGGCGACGACACCCCCGCTTTAATTATCATTTTTTATTTCTTGTTGTTGCCACAAGTGGTCTACCGATGTAATACTATGTTCAGTTTTATTGTGTTTACATTTTCCCGGCAATCGTCTGAGAATAGCGTACCTGATTTCAGATTCTACCACCATGAATAGATCAATTGAATGATCTATAGCGTGATTAAACACATATGCCTCATCTAAATATACTTCTTTAATCTCATCCAGATTTGTCTTAGTGTTGATAGATGATGGCTTAATCAAGTGTAATGTTGTTTGGCTTGTTGACTCGTATTCACTTGGCTAGAAAAACAAACAAATAAACACAATCATCTGATTAGCTTGTGGCGTCTCGGTTCGTACTTGTTGGTCAAACTCGCCATCTTTGTTTATATAAGACCCATATCTCGGGCATGCGTGGCGCGATGACCACTGCCATTTAAATGGAAACAGTCAATCGCCGTGTATAATGACACATATGTGCGGGCTAACTGTTGAATTACTCACAGTTTCTCTGCAGTTTTTGCCAGGTATCGTACAGTTGATAATAGCTGTGTTTTTTGTGCACTCTTTCGGATCTCTATCCTTAAATATTGTGAGGACGATTGACTGGTTCTTGTTTGGTAAAACCGTGTAATTCACCAGGCAGTCACCTGTGACGTCAACCTATAATACAATAATGAATATTTGGTTGGTTGTTTCTGGTTACTTCTCACCCAGTTACCTTCAAACAGTATGTAGTTATTGGTGTTACCAACATTGTAAGGTGTAAATACAATTAATTTTTATAACGATGATGCTAAAATGAAACAGCTAAACATGGGTAACATAAATGCAATATTTACAGTGTCACTCCAGATGACACTGTTTGCGAATTTGTAATATTCATCGCCCACAATACGCTGATGAAACACACGAAATCACTACAATATATCAAACAGATCATTGACATTAGACTAATTTTAATATTACCTCGGGTACGGTGTAATGATATATGTCATCAAATTCGTCAGATAAATGGTTGTCTTGATAGTGAACTTGTAAAAGACTAACAATTCCTCGCTTCATATTCAGTACCCAATCAAGTTCAGATGGGTTGGCTTTAACGGATGTCACATGACCACTGATATATTTGAATTGAATAGAATTCTTTTCGATCTCATCTACATTGTGTGTTGGTACATGCGCAGAATCTTCTTCGTCTGAAATTTCGTCCCATTCTACCTCGTACAACTGAAATAATTGGAACACCATAATTGTCTCAATTGTATCAGGAAATGTACACTTCCGTCTCGCTTCTACGCCAAAATAGATTATTACGTTTAAGTTTTATTAGACCCACCTTTCTAAAATGCAGATGTGCTTTAATATCTTTAAAGCAATTACACTAATAATTAATCAGATTATTTAAGTAACACACTTGTTGGAATGATTATTAATTTGTTTTATTGTTGCATACAGTAACTTAAAACAATGGCGAATACACGCACATAGAAAGAGCATTTAAAAAGGCATTGGCAAAGAAATTTAAATGCAAATCGAAACGATGAACTGTCCGCTAAAGGTATTAATTGTGTTATTCTCTCTCTATTTTGGCTGCAAAAGTTTTCTTTATCTCTCTCCATTTCACACCAAAACTAACGACCCACCAAACCAAATATAGCGGGCCAGTCCCCGTTGTATACAGTTCTGAGATCTGTTACACACCTGCATGTTGACCCAATCATCGTCCAAATAGTCCAAATGAACGAGAGAGCGAATCCGAAATCCTACTATTTCGCCATCGTCTTCAAATTTATTCAGTCTTGTCGTGGTAGTGGTCATCCCATCATACACATAGATGACGTCACTGCCCTGCAGCGAAGTGACTGTAAGGTTAAATAAAGTATAGTTTGAAGGCAATTTGTTGCGTAAAATGAAATAATGATATATGTCTATGAAAGAATTTAAATCATTCATCCATTAAACGACCGATAACAATTAGATTTTGGTCTACGTCTTAAAATCATTCCTAATTGCTTTAATATCGGATAGGTTAGTTCTATATTTGTAATGAATGTTTTCTTAATATTTGGTGACCAGCCCGAATGCTTTGATATTTGACGTGAAATTGCATTAGTGAAGAAAAATACACAGGATGATGTTGACAGTAAATGATTATGTTATTATGCTTTTATACCGACCTTGCGACCATCGAGCGTTAACTATTAGTGTTGTCAGAAGAGTAGGTGTTATACCTCAAAGCTCATGATGACACTGCAACATATATCAGCAGAAATGAAGCTGAATACATCAGAAATGCAAAGCTCCAAGCGCTTTCTGACAGTCATTGTAACAAAGCTTTCTATTGGTCGGTGAACTTTCTATCGCGCAACCACGTGACATACACGGTTATGAATATAATTACCGCACGGTGTTGTAGAGGGAGGAATGTCCGAACGGAACAACACCGTCACGTTGCAGGCGGACGATGGTATTGTCTATACTAATTTCCTCAATGCCAAGGATGTGTACATAATTTACCAAACTGGGTGTCTTCGATGTTTAAACTGTTTGCTGTGTATTTAAGTACAATTCGACCAACAATGCATCGGCTCTGTCAAAGTATAACCACATAACTCTAGTACGTGGAGACATGCTCTGGACGCACAATTAAGATAAACAATCTTGATGTTTAATTGCATGCACTCACAAAATACATGTTATTTGTCACTCATTTCAACAACAAAACAATTAGATTACATACGTCATGTAAAATCAACGGACCTCTTGAACTCAATATCTAAGTGCTGTTTTTAGCCTTTGTATGCAAATGAGGAATCGCGTCGTATGTTATTCTGTTATTCGGGTTTTACCTACGTGATTTCATATACATTGGTTCTCATCTTTCTGCGATTTTTAAAAGCCCGGCATTTATAAAAAAAAATAATACACCAATCTTTATGAAAGTCGACTTTTCAAATACAGCCTGAAAGACGCGAGTATGCACGCTAAACTAGCATTTTGTATATTATCATAACCGTTTATAAATATTCCCTGGTTATGATATCGCATATACTTGGAATCACTGAATGAAGACGTTAATAAACTCCTCGAGAATAGAGGTTTTTTTTGTAGAATTTAAAATCTACTAAATCTGTGTCATTCATCGGTATTCACATGGATAGACATCGTTAATGATTATACTTCCACGGCCGATATTACACACACATTTATAATTATGGCATATAATCTTTGGACAATCGTTCAAATTAAACATTTCGGGAATTAAAAATGACATACCTGCCACAGTCAGGAAAACTATTAAGGACAAAAGCATCGTTCTTTCCATCTTCAGGTTGTTTGTTACGGATCAATGACCTTTAACTCAGTGACAATAAACAAAAATATTTATAGGTTATCCTCTTCCTAGCGTATTATGTAGTGATATTATTGGTGTTCGTTTCTTTCTTCACCGCTACTTCCAACAATGCTGGTACACTGGCACAGTTTAATATTGTAGTCATTTCACATTAGGTTTTAATGAACGATTTAGTGCAGTAATACGTGTATGCGTGGAGTCGCAATACTCACCATGTAAAGTCAGGTAGGATACTAGTATTTGCGTTAAGAACATTTATAACTAAACCGTCCTTTGCCTCCAATGACACCGAGTTAAATAAAAAATGACGTGGGACGAGGCTGTATGAATTTGAATTTCGTGTGGTTACTATGGTCAACATGCCCGGATGTTGACCTTGTACCACAGCATATCGCATCTACGTCATCACAACTAGTTATTATACATGTGTCTACTAGTGACTGCTGGTGATTTATTATGTTTGTGATAGATACTTTTCGAAATACAATGTGACGAAGAAGTGATGGGGTTTTCTGTATCCTAATTTGCATAATAGAACTAATACATCAATACCCCTGAACACACCATTTAACACACTGAGCTCTATGCTACATACAAGTTCTAACACGAGAACGGTCGTAATAGAGAAATAACAAATAAAGCAGAGAATCATGGAAATTTTCTAGTAAACAGCTTACACTCTCTAAAACTTGTTGAGTGGCTTAGCACTTCAAAATCCCTTTGGCTTCCATCCACGCTTCAATGTGAACTTATACAATTTAAAACATACAATTTTGGGTTCTTTGTTTGAAAGTCAGCTGATGATAATGTGTGTGTGTGTGTGCGGGGGGGGGGGGGTGCA